GACCAGTAGTTGACCAGATGATCAGTTTATCGGTTGTTGACTAGTTGCCCATTTGTTGGTTGTTGTTTTTTGTTTTTTTTTTATTGACCTGGACGACAGTCCGGCTTTAACAGTATATAGTAAAATAGTATTTCACCACCCTACAGTGAGGGTGTGGGTGGGGGTGACGCGGGTGAAACCCGGGGGGCGGGGTGGGGGAGGTGGTAGCAGGTGGTATCCCTTCCCTTTGTGTGTTGCAATCTCATTCTCCCTTTGTCTGAAGTCTGTGTGAGCATGTCCTTTTGTGTGCCGCTACTCGCGTCATACTCAAAGGCAGGTGCTGTACCTCATTGTCTAATCCAACTGACGCGCCTTTACTATCGATTTTTTTAAAAGTCATGTTTAAACATGTTGACCGTATAAAATCTTTGTTGAATAGGACTGATGGATGTCGAATTCTACTCGTCCTAATATAAAGAGATACATCACGTGCCAACAGCCGGGCGGTTATTGCCCCCTTCCTGGTTTCTACTTGCTTGTTGTGTTTATGGCTTGCGTTTATATATACACACACACACACACACACACAACTTACACACAACTTATATCACAACAAAAGACTTCTTATATTTTATGAATTTATTTCAACTTTCTCCAAGTCATCAAACGCTTTTAAAATATCATATCTCAGGGCGAGTAAACGTTCAAAGGCTACACGAGAGAGATTAATTCCAGAATTATTAGGAAATTTAAGATCTGTACCATCCATAAGATCTCTAAGATTTAAAGTGTTTTTGTTCATGAATTGACTAACGATAGCTACTTTATAACCACTGTCATTCGTCGTTCGTATTTCCGTCACTTTATTACTACTCCTGGCCACAAGTATCCAATCTTCACTAGACATCTTGAAAGCGCGGAAATAAACGTTTATAATTAGTCCCAATAAGTGCAAGTGTTAAACGTGATATAAGTCGATCGTTAATATATTGTCGAGCCGGTGACGGTGAAAAAGGGTGGAGAATAAGTTTTAGGCTAGCTCCATCAAAACAAAATAAACCGCGAACAGTTGGTAATGTAGTTCAACGACCTCCTGAAATCGCGGGTGATGCAGCACGCGACCACCTTCTTTTGTACTTTGTGAGGTCAATAACCTTTGTATAAACATCCGCGTTGTCTGCTTATAGAATAGTCCTCCCCCTCGCCTCCTCCTCCTCTTGCGGTCCAAACACGACCTACTATACTACTTATATAGCAGTGGCGTAACAAGGGCGGGTGTCACCCGGTGCGGCACTTAATGGTGTCACCCCCCCCCCAGAGGCGTAGCGACCCTTCCCGGCGACCGGGGACAAACTTTCAATTTTCGATTTGCACCCCTCTACTCCACCCTTGTCGGGATTTGTCAAATTTGCTCTTAAAAGACTTTTTAACACTCGAATTAATCACTTAATTAAGTGGAATTATCACTTTTCTCTATATATTTTGCTATTTTTTGCCTTGGTGTCACCCCCCTAAATGGTGTCACCCGGTGCGGTCCGCACCCCCGCCCCTCCCCCTCGCTACTCCACTGGTATATAGTATAAACTAGTTCGGTAGAAGTATGAAGTGATTTGAGTAAATAAAGAACATTATATCTTGAATTGGACTTGTGTGTGTAAATTCCAAACTATACCAGGCCCGGTTTCGTCTTCTTCAATCCCACCCTTAACACTGGGTGGATCCTCTTTTAACCCCTACCCTCACACTTATCATCGACTTATCTCTCTCTCTCCTCTCTCTCCTCTCTCTCCTCTCTCTCCTCTCTCTCTCTCTCTCTCTCTCGGTCTCAATTTTGCTAGTCCCACAATATTTTTACCTATATTTTCTATGCATTTTAACCTGTATTTTTGCAACTTTTTCTCCAAATTTAATTTTAAAAACTATTCTTAAAAGTAGATTTTCGCATTTTAAATTATTAAATCTGATCTATCCACCATAGCCACTCCTCAACATGACCTTCCGAGGATGCATGACGTTTTTGGTCTTAAACTGTTTCATCTGTCGGGTGTCCATGGAAGACAAGAAACCTCCAGACAATCCTCAATGTGCTGATAAACTGACAGATAAACTTTCTTATATATATATATTTTTTTAAATAAAAAAAACCAACCCATCACAAAATACTCTAACCTCCGTCCATTTACAAACGTGCGGACAGACTGACAGATAACCTTTATGATATTTTCATAGTTTTAATCTGCTTTTCTTGTTTAAATTAAGTCTGTCTTCCTTAGACAGAATGACGGGCGCCTTCGGCAATTAGTCGATGTTTATTTAACAGCATACAACTTTTAACTTGTATACACACTTTTATATCTTCTTCTTTTCTCTTGTTATATATGTTGTACTATTGTAATTAATTGTAAAATATGGTGTTTAATAAATAGTGATGGTTTCTGTACATAACACGAACAAACTTTCTTTGTAAGATAACAACGTCTGAAAAATAAATCTATTTTGTAGTGGGTTTAATAGTTGTCCAATGTTTCATTGTTCAAGTTCGCCAACAATTATTAAACAGACACAATACGAAAAAATACATGAACAATCTAACACAAGTAGGCTGTAATAAAACGTCACTCACATTCTATTCGAATAGTAAGGTTTTTTTTTTGTGTAACTAAGTTCTCAACAACATATATATATATATATATATATATATATATATATATATATATATATATATATATATATATATATATATATAAACATTTAATGCTAGTATTTTTCATCTGCTTGTTAGTTTGTCCAGGGCCAAAATGGGGTCTGGATTGTGACATAAGGTGCAATACTGACAACAAATGCGAAAATAACACGCATTGCCTTCGGATCGATGGCTCTTGTGTTGGTGGTTGTAAGGCAGGATACGAAGGTCGATTTTGTCAGAAAAGTAAGCAGAAATGGGGGCGGCGTGGTCAAGTCGGTAAAGCTCGAGAAGTCTCCAGATCGAAACCTAAGGCAGATGGAGACAACAGCTCATTTAGGAGAGACAACTCCTAAGTCAAACAACAGCAGCCTTGTAGCTTGTTCTTGTAGAGGGGGGAAACCCTTAGAGAATGAAGAAGTAGTTTCAATAAACTATTATCAGTGTGTGTAAAATAGCATGGACCATTAGAAAATTCGATAAATGAATAAAGTCGTGTCTTGATAAAATAAATTACACTTCAATGTACTTTCGTTATAGAAAATTATATTGTATACATAAGATTATATTGTATAAGTGAAGTTCACTTTCAATCCTGACAGCGACTTTTCCCTAACGACAGCTATCAGAGCTGGGTGCATTAAGACGGCATTTTACGTAATTAAACTAGTTTCGAACGCGGCACTGTCGGATTAGCAGTCGTATCGACAATTCGACTAATCATGATTTAAGATAAGAGCGTAAAAATTTGATAAGTATTTTTTTTTTCAAGACGGGGTTTGGGAATACCATATGAGAAACTGATTAGAATAACTTTTTGTGAATGAAGTCAAAAACTAAATAGTTTCCATGTTTCAAGATTATATTGCCTATTTTCAAGATTGTAGTTGCTAAGTTACTAGGCGACAAGTTTAAAGATTACAGACAGTGTATGTATAGGAGAGAACATGGGCAGTGTGGATCTAGGACAGGGGTCTACAAACTTTTCAGTCCGAGGGCCGCATTAACTATCAAATTTCAGTTCAGGGGCCAGTTTCTTCCAGGCATGTCTTTGATTTTTCTGGGAGAAGTTCCTCAGCCATCACCAACAAACGGTTTTTCCGTGGACAAAATGATCTCCGCGGGCCGGATGAGAGGACCTCGCGGGCCGCATCCGGCCCGCGGGCCGTAGTTTGGAGACCCCTGATCTAGGAGAGTACATGGATAGCAGCGAGGTGTCACCCCCCAGAGGCGTAGTGACCCTTCCCGGGGACAAACTTTCAAATTTTCGATTTACACCCCCCCCCCCCTCAAACTTTTGATTTGCACCCCCCCCCCCCTTCAAACTTTTAATTTGCACCCCTCCTCAAGTTTTTCTCTATATATTTTTCTATTTTTGCCTTGGTGTCACCCCCCTAAATTGTGTCACACGGTGCTGTCCGCACCCCTCCCCCTCGCGCTATGGAATGTTTTTCTTTCTAAAATTAGGAATGTAATGCCATTTTCCTATCTCAAGGTTAACGAGGTGTATTATGGTATCGTTTTGTAAGGTACTAGGTAGATTGAACCACATAGGATTTAAGATTTTTTTTTTTGGGGGGGGGGGGTGACTAGTTATTTCCAAAATAATATTGGAAAAATAAAATCATCCATGTTACATATTATCTATATATATAATTCTCTTCTGGGAGCCGTTAGAAAACAAGCTGCAAGCGCCTCCTTGCAGTCCTCTCTCTTTCTCTCTATCACTACCACCCCCACCCCACCCCACATGGTCTGGTGAGCTGTGGTCACACTAGATGTTTACAAAGCTAAATGTTTACAAATCGTAGAGCCGTAGAGCCGGGTTTCTATTAGGGGCAGATAATTTAGTTCGATTTTAAACTTACAGGAGGTAACTAAGAGGAGGCTGCTTTCATGGGGGGGGGGGGGGCAATAGGGTCGGGGTTATGTGAAAGGGGGAGGGGTTAGTGTTTTAAAGCAAATATTTTCAGTGGCAGCATTGGTACTGGGTCGGCTCGTTAAAATGAAAACATTATTTTTTTAGAAATCCTTTTTTTTTACAATATGTTACTTTGCAAAACAAACTGCTTGACCTGACATTACGTTAACCATACTTAAACAACAACACTGTTTAAATATATACGGATAACTACTTAACACAAATTATTATTTTTTTTGGCGTAATTTAATGAAGCCCTTGAGGGGCAAAGGGCTTCAGCAACATCTCTCCACGGACTGTTCTGACCGGCTCTCTTTAGTTGAGCCCACGTAAGTCCCTTGCTTCTCCTTCCATTGTCATTTTCGAGGATAACCTACTTTTTCCCCCTGGAGGTTCCAATGCAATGCTGACCTCGCAATGTTGCTCTCGTGTATAGGGCTGGTAAGTAGGTCACCAACCAGTTCTATGGCTCATGCAGGTTTTATTGAGCCGTAGAACTGGTTGGTGACCTACTTAACAGCCCTATTCTCAAGACGTGCTTGCCCCACCCTCATTTGCGGGCTTTAAATCCCCCGTCTATCGACTATTGTTTTCCGATTTGCTATTGGTCCTTGCCGATCTTACGTTTTGCGAAATATATACTCGCATGAACCCTATCTATAATCTTTATTAAAACATATTTTCTAATTTGTGCGATAGTGTATTAAATAAATGAAAATAATGTGCTTGTAAAACTTACATTTTAGAATGCACGAATAAGAGATGGGGTCGAGGCTGTTCAAATAATTGCCCGGAAAAATGTTACGGAGAATGTGACGTAGTACAAGGTTTATGTATTGGAGGTTGTAAATCTGGGTACTCGCCTCCTTATTGCAAAGAAGGTAAATTATGATAGATTTAAACTATTAAAGCAATTTTATTATCATCTTTTACTGGGGCAGATGAAGTAGAGTTTATATGTTTCAATGATCTCGAGATACAGAGTTATAGTGTGGTCAGCACTTGGTCCAGCCGCATCAGTTTTCCAAATGTGAGTCAAGTTCAAGAGATGGGTGGACTAATGCATGTCCCACAGCCCGGGACCCACTCGAAACTTTCGGGCTAGCAGACGTAATACAAGTGGCCTTAACCTGCCAAAATAAAATTGCTTTTTAGAAGTGAAATAAAGTAATAAGTACAACAATGAAATATTTAACATAATTTATTCATAATAAAAAAATACAATGGATACTTCTTAATTATCAACAGGTATAACAACGTAAAATAATAATAATGAACAACATACAAGTTAAATTAAAGGATTTGATTTTGCGATGATTGCAACATTATTTTACTTTAGAATAGTGATGCGGTTGGCGCTGTCATGTCGGTAAAGCTAAGGGGACAGCAACACATCTGGGAGAGAACACTCCAAAATCAAACAACTGCTGCCTTGTATGACCTTGGATGAACATAGTCTATGGAAACAAATCCAAAGGAAAAGCAAGCTGAAATCGGCGCCAACGGCGTATATGTCGCGTAACAGGTTGACACGTAATACTTAATTGTGTTGGAGAAAATACCGAGTACCACACAATTAATACAGAAATTTACTAAAATTTTAGTAAAAAGCATTGTTGCTAAACAACCATTGGTAGAACGTTTAATATTATAACTCAATATTCGAATTGTTCCTCTAATGAACTTGTTAAAATAAGTTATACAGTGTCCGACCCTAAAATGGGGACCTGTCGACTGTGAAGACCAATGCAGTGATGGATGTGTAGCAGGCTGCGATATTTATAATGGCGTCTGTCTTTATGGTAACTATATCTTAGTCGGTCTTAACTAGTGTGATAATTTCTAAAACGTAAAATTAATTTGATGTAATCTTGTTTGTTAGAGTTGTACAAATTATATTTTATATATGTGGGTCTATTTTTTTAAATTTAATTATAAAAACTATATACATTTTTTTAAAGAAATCATTAAAAATGTATTTAAAAGATAGTAAGTGTGCTATTTAATAATAAGATAGAAACGCAGGCTAGAAACTTGTTTTAAGTAGCGACAACAACGAGCATATCAAGTGCCATATGTAGCTCGAACTACACGGAATTTTTTGATATAATCCATGTGCGGTGTATTAGATACTATCACATTTCAACAATGTTTTTAAAATCAAGTACACTAGTCTTCCATGAGATGAAACAACTACATATTTTTTGTGACATCATTATCATCTTATTTTCTTGTTTTTGCCGAAGACACATTGAGCAGATGAAGTAGAGTTCATCAGGTTCAATTACATCGGCTTTTGATGGGGGTAATGTGGGGCAGTATTATGTCCAACTGCGATGGTTTCCCATAACGTGTCAGGTACTTGTCGGAGCTGGGTGGACTTGGGACATCATAGGGACTTAAACTCGAGACTTTTGGGTTAGCAGTCGTATGCTCTACCATCCTGCCACACCGACACCCCCAACCCCCCCCCCCCTAGTGGTGACATGCTCATCATTACACTTATAAATGCAAGTTGTTGTGTATGGGGATTGTACATGTATTTTTAAAATAGATTCCAGAATAGAGATCTCAGGTAATATGTATCAACATGTATTTCAGGCTGTACTGCACGCAAATGGGGCGCTTACTGTAATCTTACCTGCAGTCCTAACTGCATAGATGGCGACTGTCACAAAGATAACGGCACTTGTGTTAGCGGATGTTCATCAGGATTTCAGGGTTACAATTGTCAAGGTAAAAGTAAAATATAAGAAATATATAAAAGTAAAATATAAAAAATATATGTATTAAAACCCAGATCATTATGGTTACAATTGTCAAGGTAAAACTAAAATAAAAGAAATATATGAAAGCTCAGTGGAAAAAGTACTTAAGTTACATTTTTTCAAAAATGAGTTAAGACCGGTATATTATTTGACTACCTCCCCTTAACCATCCCTGTAAATTTGGGCCATGGATAAAGTACCGAAGTAGCTTAATTTGAATACTCTGCATCAGCTGTTTTGGTATTTCAATAACAATTTTAAAACTTTGCACTCATTTTTCTCAAAACTCTCAAAATACACTTAAGTACTTTTTCCACTGAGCCCTTCATATGTATTAAAACCAAGATCATTATGGTTACAATTGTCAAGGTAAAAGTAAAATATAAGAAATATATAAAAGTAAAATATAAGAAATATATGTATTAAAACCCAGATCATTATGGTTACGATTGTCAAGTTAAAAGTAAAATATAAGAAATATATGTATTAAAACCAAGATCATTATGGTTACAATTGTCAAGGTAAAAGTAAAATATCAGAAATATATGTATTAAAACCAAGATCATTATGGTTACAATTGTCAAGGTAAAAGTAAAATATAAGAAACTAGCGACTACGCCGCTATTTAGTTGTTGTTTTTTTTCTTCTTTTCAAGAATTCATAATTTGTGAATTCGACAGTACCAATGCTGCCACTGAAAATATTTGCTTTAATAAAACACTATCAGTAGGTTGTTAAGGACGAAAACCGCCCCCGCCCACCCTCCTTTCCCCCAACCCCTACCCTATCCCCTCTCCCTCAGTGAAAGCACCCTCCTCTTAGTTACCTCCCCTAAGTTTAAAATAGTTTCAAACTAAATTATCTGCCCCTAATAGCAATCACTAAACCCGGCTCTTCGATTGTAAATATTTAGCGTGAACCACAGCTCACCTGACCATGTGGGGTGGGGGTGGTAGGGATATGGTTAGAGAGGTAGAGAGGGGGCTGCTAGGCGCGCTTACAGCTATGTGTTTTCTATGTTCTCCAAGAAGAGAATTATATATATAAATATACACACACACACACACACACACATATATATATATATATATATATATATATATATATATATATATATATATATATATATATATATATATATATATATATTAAAACCCAGATCGTTAAGATTACAATTGTCAAGGTAAAAGTAAAATGTAAGAAATATATAAAAGTAAAATATAAGAAATATATGTATTAAAACCAGATCATTTTGGTTATAATTGTCAAGGTAAAAGTAAAATATAAGAAATATATGTATTAAAAACAGATCATTGACTGAACGCATTCTGCAGGATGTCTAAAAGGGATAAAATGTTAATTTAAAGAAATTTTATGTGTAGTCTGTAAAAAATGAAAAAAAGTATGACGTTTATTCACTTCAATGGTTCTCAATCATTTTGAAAAGGTATATGCATTGGAATAGAAAAATCATTGTGCTATCTGCAAGGAGGAAAATAAATTATTTAAACTTGTTCGTGCTTATCAAACATACATAGCTAGCCTGCTGAGTATATTTCAAACATCACCTTATTTTCCGGTTCGTTCCGAAGACACATAGGACAGTTAAATTAGAGTTCATCTGTTTCAGTGTATCTGAAATATAGAGGGATATTATGGTCAACATTATAATCAGCAACCTTGTATTTCCTAACGTGAGTTAGGTATACTTAAGAGCTTAATGGATGGGCTAAGTCCTCAGGAATTGAACTCAAGACATTCAAATAAGCAGTCAAAAGCTCTACCATCTAACCACACAGTCCCCTACATTTTTAGATTCAATATACGCATTTTATTTTCGGGTTTAATGTATCCATGAAAAATATGATTAAAAATAGAAATTAATATAATTTAAATATAAGTGTTATATTAAATGCTATTATTTTATAATGTATTAATGGATATAGTTCTGCGTGATTTATTTATCACTTAAATAAAAAGATTGGCTAATCACTGTCATAGGAAGGTTGATTAATCTATATAATAGGGAGACTAGTAAAACACTTTTATAGGTAGATTGGATGATCACTGTCTATCGAGATTGGCAAATCATGGTCAGAGGGAGATTTGTTACTCACTGTCAAACAATTTTTTTAGAATGTGCTCCTCGGAAGTGGGGTGACAAATGCGAAAAATCCTGCAGCCCACACTGCTTCAACAGCCACTGTAACAATGAGACTGGCGAATGTATTTATGGGTGTAAGAAGGGATATAAACGTCCATTTTGTGAAGAAGGTAAATAAACCGGGAGTGATCTCCCCTAAAAAAAATTTCAAATATTCTTATATGAAAGAACAGGGGATGGCAACTTGGGATAAAAGCATGATTTTTAATCCATTTTAAATACTTTAACTTTTTAAAATAGAATAAAATCTCGTAGAAAAAGTTCCATTTCCTGTTATTGGAAATCGCTCAAAAGTTGATACGGATCAACGATTTTTATATAATACTTATATTTGAAGTTTCATCAACCTAGTTGTAACGGTACTCAAGTTATCGTGTTTACACACACACACATACGCACATACACACACACACAGACAATACGGACAAGATTGCAAAATTATGTTTTTCCGACCCAGGGAGGTGTAAAACGTCCAGATTTGAAAAAATATCGATTGCTTTTTGCACGAATACAAGACTTACTCTATACTTCGTATATACGAGAAAATAAAAAGTTAGAAATTCGAGACATCTAGTAGAACGGGCATTTTAAAAAAAATTAGAAATGTACTAAACTCTTAATGATAAGACATCGTCGCTAAAACAATACTTGGTAGAACGTTTAGTATTAGAACGCAACATTCGAATTGTTCCCCTAATGAACTTGTTAAAATAAGTTCCACAGTGTCCGATTCAAACGTGGGGATCTAAGAACTGTGAAAACAAATGCAGTGATGGATGCGTATTCGGCTGCGATGCTTATGATGGCGCATGTCTCCATGGTAACTATATCTTGGTCTTAACTAGTGTGTTAAGTTCTAAAACGTAAAATTAATTTGATGTAATGTTGTTTGTTGGCGTTGTTAAAATTTGTATTTTATTTAAGTACCTCTAATTCATTTATTTTTTATTTAATTATAAAAATTGTACGAATGTTTTAAGTAAGCGAAAACTTGTTTTAAGGATCGACAACAGCGAGTATATCACATGACATAAGTTGCTAGAACGGCACTCGGAATTATTTGATAGAACCATGTGCGGTTTATTAGATACTATCATATTTAAACAATGTTTTTAAAATCAAGCACACTTTACACTAGTCTTCCAAGAGATGCAACAACTACATATTTTTATGTCACATCATTATCATCTTCTTTTCCCGTATTTGCCGAAGACACATTGAGCAGATGAAGTAGAGTTTATCAGGTTCAATTACATCGGCTTTTGATGGGGGTAATGTGGGGCAGTATTATGTCCAACTGCGATGGTTTCCCATAACGTGTCAGGTACTTGTCGGAGCTGGGTGGACTTGGGACATCATAGGGACTTAAACTCGAGACTTTTGGGTTAGCAGTCGTATGCTCTACAATCCTGCCACACCGCCCCCCCCCCCCCCCCCTAGTGGTGACATGCTCATCATTACACTTAAAAATGCAAGTTGTTGTGTATGGGGATTTTACATGTAGTTTTAAAATAGATTCCAGAATAGAGACCTCGGGTAATAGGTATCAACATGTATTTTAGGCTGTAAGGACGGCAAATGGGGTAAATACTGTAATCGTACCTGCAGTCCTAACTGCAAACAAGGCAAATGTGAAAAATATAACGGCTCTTGTGTTAGCGGATGTTTACCAGGATTTCAGGGTTACAAATGTAAAGGTAAAAGTAAAATATAAGAAATATATGTATTAAAAACCACATCATTAAAATTACAGTTGTCAAAATAAAAGTATAATGTAAGAAATGTATGTAATACAAACCATATCATTAGTACACACAGTTTTATATAATATAAAATGCTACTCTTTTCTAATGTATCATGTATTGATGAATATAACCCAGTGAGATAGATGAATAACTTTAATATGAAGAATTGCTAATCTCTATAATAGGGAGATTGGCTAATCTCTATAATTGGGAGATTAATTACACATTTTTATAGGTAGAATGGCTAATCACTGTCAAATGAAGATTGGCTAATCTCTATAATAGAAAGATTAGTTACACACTTTTATAGGTAGATTGGCTAATCACTGTCCAGGGAAGATTGGCTAATCTCTATAATAGAAAGATTAGTTACACACTTTTATAGGTAGATTGGCTAATCACTGTCCAGGGAAGATTGGCTAATCTCTATAATAGAAAGATTAGTTACACACTTTTATAGGTAGATTGGCTAATCACTGTCCAGGGAAGATTGGCTAATCTCTATAATAGAAAGATTAGTTACACACTTTTATAGGTAGATTGGCTAATCACTGTCCAGGGAAGATTGGCTAATCTCTATAATAGAAAGATTAGTTACACACTTTTATAGGTAGATTGGCTAATCACTGTCCAGGGAAGATTGGCTAATCTCTATAAAAGTGATATTAGTTACACACTTTTATAGGTAGATTGGCTAATGACTGTCAGAGGGAGTTGGGGTACTCACTGTCAGGCCACTATTTTAGAATGTGTTCCTTCCAAATGGGGTGTCAGATGCCATAAACCCTGCAGCTCATACTGCAACAAAACCGACTGTGATAATGAGACAGGCGCCTGTATTCATGGTTGTATGGACGGATATGTACCTCCACGTTGTTATGAAGGTAAAAAAAAATTAAGAAAACGTTAGAAGTTGGAGACATCTCTAAACTATATAACCATTGATGTTAGGAAGTCATTTATCTCTTAAATAACTGACTATTAGTTCGATGATATTTTTAAAGTGTATTTAAAATGACGAAGTATCGATTCAATATAAATGCAATGTTATTAAAAATTATATTGTCATTTTTTCTTTATCTACTGATGGAGAATTAATATCTAATCAAGATATTCACAATTATAAAGTAATGATACGTTTATCGTGATAAAAAATTAATCGCACACAATTCAAAGAAGCAAGCATTGTTTCAACTAATGTTTTGTGCTTAGAAATCAACGTTTGGTAATAGTAGAACCAGCATTTTAAATTTTTAGGTTATTCTACTTTTGCAAAATATTATCCGGAGAAATATAATTAGCATGGAGGCAGCCAAAGTTGACGAGATAGGTCTGATCATGTAAACATTTAGCCTGAAAAAAAAATCAGAAAATCAATAGTTGTAGAATACATGTAATAAAGATTACACATGCAAAAAAAAAAATGAAATGACTACATTCCTGTTTATTTTCTTCAAGTTTCACATTCGCAATAAAAATATTGATTAGCTGTGAACAAACTAAGTGATCAATCTTATGAAAGACCAAATTTGTTGCAATTTGTGCTAAAAAACTTTACTGGTAAAATATTCAAATACAAAGATATTTGAGATCATGTGATCAAGTTATGCCATGCTTGTTTACATTTTCGGTGATGAATAGCTAAAATAATTCTTTATGACTTTTTTTTTTGCTTGGTTACCGAAAATCCTAAAATCATCGGATGCATCCAATCTTTAGTAAATTCCGCCAAAAAAAACCCCTCTTAATAATGTTTTTATAATGTTATTATTTTAAAACATCACTTAAGAGATTATCACAACTTTTTGTGGTATTATTTTCTAGAATGTAAAAGAAACACATGGGGCGCGAATTGCAAAACTAAATGCAGCGCCAACTGTGTGAGAAAAACATGCAAACATACGAACGGCGAGTGTACTCACGGGTGTGTTCCTGGGTATGAGGCACCATTGTGTACAAAAGGTAACTAGTACTAAATGTCAAATACCTCCTACATAACCTTAGTACTAAATGGAACTTTGGTTATGTAGGAAGTATTTGACTGCTCGACAATGGTTGGTTTGTTGAAAATGAAAATGGAAGATATATGCGGCAACGTTAAGGAAAAATTAATTTAAAAATATCGTTTTTTAAGAAATTTCTTTAATTAAAACAAAATGAGACTCGCTCTCTCTCTCTCTCACACTCTCTCTATCTATCTTTTTCCTCTCTATCTCTCTCTTTCTCTCTCTTTCTATATATAAATAAATAAATATATATATATATATATATATATATATATATATATATATATATATATATATATATATATATATATATATATATATATATATATATGTGTGTGGGTGTGTGTTGACAGGACACATGATCTCAGGACAAATAATTTCAGACAAAATATCTCACGGACAAACGATCTCAGACAAAATATCTCACAGCAAAATTGCAATAGTGTGTAGGATCATTTTAGTTGATTTTTGCATGAATACAATATTTCCTGTATAGGCCTACTCCGAATTCGAGAAAGTATAAATGACATGAAATTTACTTTCTTTTTCTTTTACTATGTTTATACTATATTTAGAATGTTCGCAAGGGACGTATGGAAAAAAGTGTTCAATGGAATGCTCTGTGAACTGCAAACAACGCAACAAATGCCACCATGTTACCGGAGTATGTAAAGATGGTTGTCTACCAGGACTATGGCCTCCCCTTTGTGACCGTGAGTATATTTTTAGCGCAATTTCCATTCTGGAGAATTGCGTTTATTAACTCGTCTTTTCTGGGAATGGATGGATGGATGGATGGATGGATGGATGGATGGATGGATGGATGGATGGATGGATGGATGGATGGATGGATGGATGGATGGATGGATGGATGGATGGATGGATGGATGGATGGATGGATGGATGGATGGATGGATGGATGGATGGATGGATGGATGGATGGATGGATGGATGGATGGATGGATGGATGGATGGATGGATGGATGGATGGATGGATGGATGGATGGATGGATGGATGGATGGATGGATGGATGGATGGATGGATGGATGGATGGATGGATGGATGGATGGATGGATGGATGGATGGATGGATGGATGGATGGATGGATGGATGGATGGATGGATGGATGGATGGATGGATGGATGGATGGATGGATGGATGGATGGATGGATGGATGGATGGATGGATGGATGGATGGATGGATGGATGGATGGATGGATGGATGGATGGATGGATGGATGGATGGATGTGTGTCCGCAGCTTTAAGTCGTCTTTAAGTCGTATCTCCTCCTCAACGAAGCAATATCGAGGACTAGTTCCAAAAGCAAAAATGTTAAGCAAGTTCCGAGGATGAACATAGGCTAAATAAATTCCGGGTTTTCTTCATGGATTTCCCGGAAATGCCAAAAACCTGGAAAAATTGCAGTTTTTGGCCCATTTCTCGGCAACCAGACAACTTACCGACTTGAAACATGAACCAATCGATTCCTGCCATAACTTAGAACAATATTGCTGAAAAAAGTTTTCAAAAATATCCTTTCGTTCGGTCACAAAAAATTAATTAAGAACATTTAAACTGAGCATCGTGTAGGCTTAGGATGATATTTTAAACTGAGCATCGTGTAGGAGTTTATATTTATAGGATGATTTACTTATTAACATAAGGAAATTGCGCTTAAATTGTCACTAGACTTTTTATTAACTTGATTATATAAAGTACTTCTTTTTTTTTATTTCTGGGTTAGGGTTAGAGTTAGGGATGTTTGTTAAGTTCAGGTATCGGGTTAGGGTTAGAGTTAGAGTTAGGATTTCTTACACACGTAATGCAAAGTCTACCATAATTGTAATTATAGCCCGCACCCACCCACCTGCCCTGACGGAACAAGGGATCTTAAAAAAGTAGTTTCCCTTTCAAACCTGACGGTCTATGGGGCAAGTGAAGTAGAGTCCACTTGTTTCTGTGACCTCGGCATATGAAGAGATACTGTGGTCAGCACTATGCCCAGCCGGTTGGAGGTTAGGGGTTCGGGGTAATGGGTAATGGGTAATGGGTAATGGGTAATGGGTAATGGGTAATGGGTAATGGGTAATGGGTAATGGGTAATGGGTAATGGGTAATGGGTAATGGGTAATGGGTAATGGGTAATGGGTAATGGGTAATGGGTAATGGGTAATGGGTAATGGGTAATGGGTAATGGGTAATGGGTAATGGGTAATGGGTAATGGGTAATGGGTAATGGGTAATGGGTAATGGGTAATGGGTAATGGGTAATGGGTAATGGGTAATGGGTAATGGGTAATGGGTAATGGGTAATGGGTAATGGGTAATGGGTAATGGGTAATGGGTAATGGGTAATGGGTAATGGGTAATGGGTAATGGGTAATGGGTAATGGGTAATGGGTAATGGGTAATGGGTAATGGGTAATGGGTAATGGGTAATGGGTAATGGGTAATGGGTAATGGGTAATGGGTAATGGGTAATGGGTAATGGGTAATGGGTAATGGGTAATGGGTAATGGGTAATGGGTAATGGGTAATGGGTAATGGGTAATGGGTAATGGGTAATGGGTAATGGGTAATGGGTAATGGGTAATGGGTAATGGGTAATGGGTAATGGGTAATGGGTAATGGGTAATGGGTAATGGGTAATGGGTAATGGGTAATGGGTAATGGGTAATGGGTAATGGGTAATGGGTAATGGGTAATGGGTAATGGGTAATGGGTTATGGGTTATGGGCTATGGGTTATGGGTTATGGGTTATGGGTTATGGATTTGGTTTAGAGTTAGGGTTAGGGTTAGGGTTAGGGTTAGGGTTAGGGTTAGGGTTAGGGTTAGGGTTAGGGTTAGGGTTAGGGTTAGGATTAGGGTTAGGGTTAGGGTTAGGGTTAGGTTTAGGGTTAGGGATAGGGTTAGGATTAGGGTTAGGGCTAACGTTAAGGTTAGAGTTCAAATATGGGCTATGGCTTTGGTTAAAATTAGGGTTAGGATTTCTTACACTCTTAAGGCGATGTCTGTCATAATTTGAATTTTAGTCCCCTGCGGTAAAAAAACATGGGGTCGAGACTGCGACTTCAAATGCAGTGACCATTGCTTATACCAGGAAGGATGCTATGGAAGAGAAGGGGCTTGCGTTGGCGGTTGTGGACCTGGCTACAGGCGTCTAAAATGCACAAAAGGTTATTAAATGTTTTTAAGTCAGTTGTTAGGCCATTCTTGTTGTCCATTCTGGGTTTTTTTTCTCTTTACTTTTTGTGCTGGTTTTTACTAAAGAGCTTTCTAATCTCAGCTTTTCACAATCTGCTTTAGCAGTTCCTGTTAATCTTAATAATACCTTGACCTTTTATGTAACGCCTAGGAATAGTATAAGACGTCGCCGTTTTTTCAAACTTAGCATATTCTTAACATTTCCTAGTTATTTTTCCGCAGAATACCGGATTTTCATACATTGCCAGCTTCATATTTAAAATTTTCAGTGTAGGCCTATATATATATATACATAAATAAATAAATAAATAAATAAATAAATAAATAAATAAATAAATAAATAAATAAATAAATATATATATATATATATATATATATATATATATATATATATATATATATATATTTCAGTGTGTAGACCAAAGACTTGGGGATATGATTGCGAAAACCTATGCAGTCCAAAATGCATCAACAAAGAAAAGTGCAATGCTATAAACGGTACCTGTGTGGGGGGATGTACTGCAGGCTTCAGGCCACCTGATTGTGTAGAAGGTAAGAAAGTTCGGGCGGTAGAGCTGACGACTGCTAACACTCGGTTACTGCAACAGGTGATACACGACCTATCGACGCTGCTGTTTGTTTTTTGTAGTGTTTGGACGGGATTGCCTGCAATATACGTATTACGTATCAACATGTTATGCGCCACATGGGCGATCGTCTCCTATTTCAGCCTGCTTCTTTCACTGTTTCTTCCAGACTTTTTTCTTCGGCGGTGCACTTGATATTTTCGTGGGGGGGGGGGGGGTGGTGTGGGGAGAACACGGGTAAAAGTATATATTTTCTATATGAATTCCACTATGTTCGGGGGGATAGAATTTCTTCGGGGAGGGGGGCTAAGCCCCCCCCCCCCCTTGAAGAGATGCCTGGAAGAAACTCTGATTGCCGTTTGTCCATCTAAGAACAAACTACAAGGCAGTATTTGTTTTATTTTAATTTTTTTTTCTCCTAGTAGATTTGCTGTCCAGCTATCGATCCAAATCTTCCCGAGAATTCGGACTCGAGACTTTTCGGTTTTTCATGAACTTTACCGACCCGACCTTGCCAAACCATATAAAATATTAAAAATATATTTACATTTTGGAACTATATTCCAGTCTGCCGTAAAGGAACGTGGGGTATTAACTGTAACAACGTATGCGACCAGCATTGTCCAAAGGGCATCTGTGATCGTATTAGCGGCGCATGTATTCAAGGTAAATAAAATGTAAAGGTGTATATGACACACGCATTTATAATTTAGAAGTTACACGTTTCAAAAGTTTCATTTCTTAACAGTAAGTGTCTCAAAAGTATCGTTTCTCTAATGTACCATGTCTGAATGGTTCAAAAGTATCGTTTCTCTGATGCACCATGTCTGAATGGTTCAAACGTATCGAGTCTCTAACGTACCATGCCTGAATGGTTCAAAATTATCGTTTCTCTAATGCACCATGTCTGAATGGTTCAAAAGTATCGTTTTTCTAATGCACCATGTCTGAATGGTTCAAAAGTATCGAGTCTCTAACCAGAGGCGTAGCGATGGGGGGGGGGGGGGGGCGGGTGGTGCGGACCGCACCGGGTGACACCATTTAGGGGGGTAACACCAAGGCAAAAAATAGCAAAATATATAGAGAAGGGGGGGGAGGGTGCAAATCGAAAGTTTGAGGGGGGAGGGGTGCAAATCGAAAATTTGAAAGTTTGTCACCGAGAAGGGTTTCTACGCCTCTGGGGGATGACGCCATTACGTGCCGCACCGGGTGACACCCGACCTCGCTACGCCACTGTCTCTAACGTACCATGCCTGAATGGTTAAAAATTACTTGTGCAAGAAACCGACAGCGACTCTTTGATAGCGACAACAACAAAATATTTCGTGGCAACAGTAAATTTATTCGTGAATTCTGTTTCTTTCACAGGGGCTGATATCAAGAAAGAGCTGTTGGATATGCTGATGACCGTAATGCTACTAGAACAATTATAGGAACAACTTATAACAAGCAACAGCAACCATTAGAACAACAACCATGAAAAGCAGCAACAACAACTACAACCAACAACAATTATGAAAAGCAGCAACAACAACTACAACCAACAACAAACATGAAAAGCAGCAACAACCATTTCTAGTTGTATATGGTGAAATAAATTCACGATAAAAAATGTTTTGAATATTTTTGCAGAAAGTGAAAATGCGAGTTTATTTAATCTAATCTTTGAACAAAAATAGCATTGTGCGTGCAGAGGATGTGAAGAATGCATTGGGGTTCTGTGTATTTAAAAACAATGTATTCACAAATTGTAGCAAAAGTGTATAAATTGTCTGACTAAGAGCTCTTCTAACTACAAATGTAATAGGTCACATGTAGAACGAACGACCATTTGTATATCTTGCAACATTGTAGTACGATTTATCGTGTTTGCCAAACGTGTAGGATTATAGCACTATTAACTACAAATGCAGTAAAGTAACTACAATGCAGTAAAGTAGCTACAAATGCAGTAAGGTCACTACAAATGCAGTAAAGAGATCTTTTAGGTTTAAACTAGACTAGACAAAACTAGACTAGACCAAACTAAGCTAGACTAGACAAAACTAGACTAGAATATACAAAACTAGACTAGACCAAAATAAACTAGACTAGACCACACTAGACTAACAAGAACATACTTGATCTGACTACAGTAGACCCAATGGCGTAGCGAGGTCGGGTGTAACCCGGTGCGGCATTTATTGGTGTCACTCCCCCGCCCCCCCCCCCCCCCCCCCCCCCAGAGGCGTAGCGACTCTTCCCGGGGACAAACTTTCAATTCGCGATTTGCACCCCCCCCCCCCTCAAACTTTCGATTTGCACCTCTACCCCCCTCAATTTTTTCTCTATATATATATTACTATTTTTTACCTTGGTGTACCCCCCCCCTAAATGGTGTCACCCGAAGTGGACCGACCCCCCCCCCCCTCGCTACGCCTCTGAATAGACCAGACTATCTAATTAACAATAATCCGTTGTATCATAAACATGCATGTATAAAAGGGTTTATATGGGGAAGGAGGGGAAGGCGTAGTCTTAAAAGTGTCGGGTCAGCTAGGTAGGATAAAATACGTGTGGCAAGCTCAAAGCTCGATAGTTCGAAGCGTGGAAGGCGACACAGATCGCAAATGATCGGAAATTTAGATTTAATTAAGATTTTCAGTATTTCACACTACATCTTTCTCCTCCACATCCGATTATTACATCTGTAGAATTAACTAACCATGTGACCATCTTTGTATTGTACAAATGTAGCGGTAATCTCTACTACACTCTGGCTGGTCTTAAAGTGTCTTTTCACATACGGGTAATAAAGAATTTACTTATTTGGATATATTGTTCCAGATCACCCATGTATACGGGTTATTGGCTAAACAAGCAAAAAAAAAACTTTTATACCCCTCACGTGGGATGTATAGCGTACTGGGTTGGAATGTAGGAAGGGTGGTTGGGTGGTTTTGGTTTGGATTGTTCATTGGTATGTAGCTTGGATTGGTTCATGGTGTTGGATGGGTTGGGTATCGGTGTATTATTTCACCTTCTCTTATTGTCTCCCCTTATTACCTTTTAGTATCTCATTTTGTAAAAATAATATTCATCCAGTAACGCGTTTTGCGCAGTTTCATTAGTAGATAACTTGGTTGTTGCATTGCTGTAAAGGGGGGTGGAAGCAGGCGTTGTAACTGAAATTGCAATATTATTAACAGAAAGTGATATTTCAACGCCAAGGGTTCGGATCCCGTTGGTTTCTGACTGCTTGTCTTTACTTGGACTATTTTCTGTACCTTGTCTACCCTTGGCGTTGAAATATCACTTTCTGTTAATATTGCTTGTTGCATTGCTACGTGTCTACATTTGTTAAATCAGCCTTCCTGAACTTATATATGACAATAATGTGGTCGGATAGCTAAGGAGATAACTATATATATATAAGATATCTTGAGCATGAAAAATATGCAATCATAGTTTTAATTGTTTTTTTAATAAATAAATATAGACAATTTAAAATTAAACTTGGTTCGACTTCCTGCCCCTCCCTTTCCCGCTCCTTAGGTCTATGATTTTCTCTCTCTCACACACACACACACACACATACACACACTACTGAAATTTCACCAATGGAAATAGAATAAATGTTTGCCAATTTTTCATGCTCTTGTTTGTGTATTGTTTTTCACCAATCGCGTTTTTAGTAACTACTAGACTACCAGTTATCATTAGATAACTGTGGGTTTCTGGGGTTATCCATAAATGACATCACCTCTGTCACTTATCATCACAAAAAAACCAGATTCACATTCAAAAGATGTTTTTGTCTTTTAAAAACACCGATTTCGACTGAGCATGGGTCTGATCACACAATCAATTCATATGCTGAGGTCACAAAAACAGGTAAACTCTACTTCACCTGCCCAGTGTCTCCCCAACTCAGACACGATTTTATCTTTTAAAACACCGATTTTGGCTGAGCATGGGTCTGATCACACTATCCATTCATATGCTGACGTCACAGGTGAACTACACCTTCCCAACTCTACTTCACCTGCCGAGTGTCCAGCAAAGTCTCCATGCAACATGTTTTTATCGTTTAAAAAAAGATTCCGGCCAAGCATGACTCTGACCACTCTATCCCTTCATATGCTGAGGACAAAGAAACTCTTTTCCACTTGCCCTGTATCCCGCCAAGTTCCGATTGGCAACTTGATCATTCACATCTAAAAAAAAAATGAAAAAAAAAAAACGTTAACATGATGCGGCTCGAACCCGTGCCATCCGCATGATAACCTAATACACTAACATCTTAGCAATCTAGGTCGAGGGATCAAGTACGGATTTACTTATATATTTTACTTTTATTCTGCGTAAGAAACTTCATTTACGCGAATAGGCCCGAGTGCCTAGTATTATTTCAAATTAAATTTTATCCCAAACTTAGCCAATCCCATAGCTGAACAAACAAAGATCAATAGAAAATAATAAACGCCTGAAATAGTTTAGTATACAGATTCTAGAGTTTTGAATTGGCTTTAAGTCTAGATCTTGATGTAGAATTTACGTTAAGTCTAGTTTTTGCCGTAGATCTAACTCTAGGTAAATCCCATGTATTCTTGAATTAGATAGTCATTGAAGCTAAAAGAAATGTTTTATATCAAATATCTAAGGACTAACAAAGTTTAATTAAGAAATACAATAATTTAGTATGGTTTTATAAAAGTTTTTTTAACTATTCAATTTTGGTTTGACCTAGATTCTAGATTTTAGATCTAGAAAGATTGACTTTCCATTCCTCCGACAGCTGATATTTAGATCTACAGCAATTTATTTTATATTCAAATTTGAACTTTTGAAAATTGATAATAGTGTTGGAACCTGATAAAATAGCAAACGGACGTATCGTTAAAGCTATAGCCGACAGAAAATTTGCTTTATAGCGCGTTAAACGTTTGAATGGGCACCAAAATCTTTGATGGAAGCCACCATTATTGTTATAACAAGTAAATAAATTATGTGACGTCACTATAAGTAAAGTCATTGCTCTGAACTTTTTATAACTAATGTGGTTAATCTACCAATGAATATATATCAATAAATTAATTAATGTCTTTAAATTTATTTGTGAGAAACAGTTTGGTTAAAACAGAAAATTGTTCTCTATCTAATTACGTGTTGTACAGCTCTACGCATAGTGCAGATTCTCTCCTGTAACCAAACAGACACACACAAAAAAATAATAAAACATGTAAACAAACTTGAGTTTTAGTAGTAGATAGAACTAAGGACACAGTTATAATGGATGTTAGAATTAAATTGAGGTAAAAATGAAAAGGTAAAGAGCACTTAAAATTTCCAAAAGGGGTTAACGAACAATAGATAAAATAATGTTTTTTCATATACATTTATTCATCCAGATCATAGATGGTGGACGTGCTCCAGATAACTGAAAGAAACCCTGACCCAACCTCTTCACCAATCGCCCACACCCCCACCCCCACCCCCACTCCGCATAACCATCCTCACTGTTCATTAGGTGTACTAGTCAACAAGGTATAGAATGTAGGATTTGACAATACTCGCCGCTCAATTCTGTTTTCTCATTATCACAACTTTTTGCATACAATGGTGTTAACCAGACACTATGAAATTGTATAAATGAAATGCTTATTCTTATCTCAAAGTTATGACTGATTTAATATTCAAACTAATTAGTAATTCGGAAATCCATTAACACCCTTCGTTTTATTGTTATTCTGGGATGTGGAATGCATGTAACAGATTTTGTGTTGTGTTCTTAATTAAATTCCTGCCCTTTGTGAAGTATATCCTCGTGGATTTATCAATAGGAATAAAATTAGACATGGAGGATAATCTAGACCAAAATAAAACACATATTCTCATAATCACACATGCAGAAAAAACTATAATTCTCGACTTATTTTTACGAAAAAAAGACTCAAAATAGACCCTAAGTATAGTTTAAACAACCTAATCGGAAAGATGCGCAAAGGAAAACTGCGCAATGAAAAATGCGCACAAAAAAAACCGCAAGGGCATTTTTGTTTTCTTAAATTGTACATTTATAGGGCTGGTAAGTAGGTCACCAACCAGCTTTATGGCTCATGCAGGTTTTATTGAGCCGTAGAGCTGGTTGGTGACCCTCCCTATAAACATTAACAGAGAGTTACCACATGTAAAGTGTTGCATAATAAAAAGATATTTTAACGAAATATGACTAAATCAAAATGTAGTAGTATAATTAGTTTGTATTTGTGCATATTTCTGTTTTCGCAGTTTTCCGATTGCTCATATTTTCTGGGAAACCTCGCACAAATATCTAATTTAACATTAAACTTAACGTAAAAACTTATCAAAGTTTAAACATCGACATCTATTCAACCAAATTTAACGTAGCAAATCTTGTAAAGATAAACACACCATGACATTAAGTAGGGAGAAGGACATATCACCAGTCACTATCAATGTTTCACTCCCCCTGAATAATTTTCACACACTCCCTCTCCGACCAAACATTCCAGAAAGACATTACCACCATGTCGATTAATAACTAACCCTCAACCAAATAGGCATAGGTTTAGGGATAATGTTATGTTTAGGGTTCTGAGTTTGGGTTAGGGTTATTTTAGCTTAGTGGCGGAACAACCAGCAAGGTTTTAAGCATATAACGTTTCTTGGATTAGATGACCTTTGAAATCATTCACTGACTTTAGTTGTAATACAACAAGAAACTCAGAAAGGAAAAAAAAAACTTCCAGTACTGATATAAAACACCTTTTAAAACAAAAACTTAAAAGCTCTATTGCTTGTGCCAAGGTTATGAGCCGAACAAAAAGAAACAAAGCCGATACGAAATACGCAATATCCTATAGTTATTGACTCTTGAAGAAAATTTAGGTTACTCTAAATAAGCACAGTATTGTCTTAGGGCAAAGGCTTTTTTTATAACCACATTGACCAGGCCCTTCATTGTAACAGCGTGGGGTCGGCGTGGTCGAGTCGGTGAAGCTCATGTTTGCTTAACCGAAAAGTCTCGAGTTCGAACATTCGGGCAGATGAGGCTCGTTAGCTGAGGACATCCATTCTTCTAGGAGAGACAACTCCAAAATCAAACAACTGCTCAGAGGCGTAGCGACCCTTCCCGGCGCCCGGGGACAAACTTTTCGATTTGCACCCCCTCCCTCAACCCCCCTCAAACTTTCGATTTGCATCCCCCCCCCCTCAAGATTTTGATTTGCACCCCCACCCCTCAAACTTTCAATTTGCACCCCCTCAACCTTTCAATTTATTTTTCCAACCTATTGTGGCGCCCCCTAAGGTCGGCGCCCGGGGACATATGTGACCCCCCCGCCCCCCACTCGCTACGCTACTGCAACTGCCGCCTTGAAGTTCATGTTTGAACAAAGGCTATGGAAGCAAATCCAAAAAGAAAAGCAGGTTGAAATCGGAGTCAATGAATGGCTTACAACCAGTTGACACGTTTACTTAATTGTGTTTGGAGGAGATTCCTTCCAACTCTAAAATGAAGAAGAAGAAAGAAGACGGTTACTCTAAATTGGAATAGTCTTAGAACATAGCCTTTATTTTTCCACCACATTGACTCGGCCCTTCGTGGTAACAGATGATTTTGGTCACGTGGGTTTATTGCATTTTTTTTTTCTAGATTTTTCCAAACCCTCATCACATTAACCCCAGTTGCAATCAGTAAAGCTGCACGGTGAAAAACATAACAAATACCATCAACGTAGACTTATTCAGATAACTAAAAAGAAAGTAAGTGCTACAAATGTCATTGTGATTTTATGTTAAGCATATTATTGTTGCCTAGATTTACCGTCCAACGCGTACATAGTTTTGAAATTAATTTTTTTTTTGTTGTAACCAATAAAATATAATTTTAAATCGATTTTCACATCCCTTGTAAATCAATAACCTAACCTAACCTAACCTAACCTAACCTAACCTAACCTAACCTAACCTAACCTAACCTAACCTAACCTAACCTAACCTAACCTAACCTAACCTAACCTAACCTAACCTAACCTAACCTAACCTAACCTAACCTAACCTAGCGTAACCTAACCTAACCTAACCTAACATAACCTAACCTTACCCAACATAGTTTATCCGAACCTAACCTAACCTAACCTAGTCAAGTCCAGCCTAGCCTAGGTTTATTTAGCCTAGACTATACTAGCCTCGTCTAACCTAATCATCTTTAATGTTGTCTACTATTTGACAACACATATTTTTATATCACAATTACCCACAAAGTTGACCAATATTGTATCTACTTCATTTAAACCGCGACAAAATTATCGTCAAAAGTATCGTCTTCAATGATCACATAAGCAGCTTTTGATTCCATCCTTGATTGTACCGGTAGATCTAAAAGACACCTACGATGTTATCGATTCTATACGTCTGTATACTCCCTTCTCTGACCCTGGCTGCTTACTCGAAATTTGCTGACTGGGACTTCGACCAAGATGGGCACATCTCAGAAGTCGAAATTATGTACCGTCTTTCTGTAAGTAACATGTTTACGGGTGTTAAATAATAATGAATGTATAAATCTTACATCATGCAATATTTCAACGGAAACAATTTCTATCTTTAAGTGTTCTAAACGTGAATTCATTAAAAATGAGCATAAAACAGTATTATACATATTTTTTTTTATTATTATACAATATAATTATAGATAATTACCCGGACGTCTACAATTATGGAGAAAGTTTTTTCGAAAAATTGTGAAAAGATTACCGAACTAAGGCCAAAATGTTCATCCATGTGGAGCAAGTTAGATATTATCAGTGACGACATTCTCAATATACGAGACTGGCAGTTTATTCCTCTATACAGTTATGATACAGAAGTGAAATTACATGAAAAAGATTTTAATGAGTATGTTGATTATGCATTATCTGGTATTTGTATTTGTATTTGTATTTGTATTTGTATTTGTATTTGTATTTGTATTTGTATTTGTATTTGTATTTGTATTTGTATTTGTATTTATATTTGTATTTGTATTTGTATTTGTATTTGTATTTGTATTTGTATTTGTATTTGTATTTGTATTTGTATTTGTATTTGTATTTGTATTTGTATTTGTATTTGTATTTGTATTTGTATTTGTATTTGTATTTGTATTTGTATTTGTATTTGTATTTGTATTTGTATTTGTATTTGTATTTGTATTTGTATTTGTATTTGTATTTGTATTTGTATTTGTATTTGTATTTGTATTTGTATTTGTATTTGTATTTGTATTTGTATTTGTATTTGTATTTGTATTTGTATTTGTATTTGTATTTGTATTTGTATTTGTATTTGTATTTGTATTTGTATTTGTATTTGTATTTGTATTTGTATTTGTATTTGTATTTGTATTTGTATTTGTATTTGTATTTGTATTTGTATTTGTATTTGTATTTGTATTTGTATTTGTATTTGTATTTGTATTTGTATTTGTATTTGTATTTGTATTTGTATTTGTATTTGTATTTGTATTTGTATTTGTATTTGTATTTGCATTTGCATTTGCATTTGCATTTGCATTTGCATTTCGATGGTCTCGGTCGCAAACCGTCTAACTCCGAAAATGTAAATTTTACAGGAGAGACAAAAAACGGATTATTTCCTTCTCGATCGCTCTAGTACAAATTTTTTTTAAAGATATCTCCGAAGAAACTCTCAACCGACTATACTGTAGCGTTTTAAAATGGGTTTTGTTGATATTTACAACATTATAGATGGTTTAAAAAGATAGACGGTTTGCTCGGTCTAAAATTCTCGGTGCAAACCGTCTATCTGTGCGCGCACAAACTTAGCTGTTTTGAGCCGAGAATTTCGGTCTCAGCCGCGTTCGTTCGTTTTGTCCAATGAACATGATTTAGTTATGTTTATGTTTTTAAGTTATAATTAACACTTCATAATATTTAGATTATAGTTTTGGGCTCATATTTTAATTAATTGAGTTTATTCTACATTATGGGGTCAGTTTAATTTTTAGTAGAGATGTTTTAGTATGACTTTATCGCTTTCGACTGTATTCATTATGTCTGTATTTAGCACTAGACTTGTTAACTGTTGAAGGTTGTGCTTTATTTATTACATCTTTCTATTCTCACAGTTTATTTTACTAAATCTGGTGGGTGCTGGGTTTGTTGAATGATAATAGTAAAAACAGAAACCTTATTGTCAGATATATTATGAATGAGACATAACACACTAATCACATTAATACTGACTTAATGTTTACTTATTTTACAAATATGTAACACAAAAAAATGTGATTATTTTTTAAATTTATTCTTTGAATAAACTTCACATAAAAAAAGATTAAAATGGCAACATATTTTTAAAATCAGGGAAATCATCATAAAAAGGTGTTTTTATGACTTGCTTTTAGGTGCTCAAATATGACAGCTTTTATCTTTTTTTCTGCTCTTGTACAACTTGACAGGGGTACAGATGAGATCATAATCTTACGACCCTAGCTTAGCAATTGCCAGCTATCTGCTAATTCACTTTGAAGTAGACAGTAGCATCAGGCTTGTACTGCAGTGCACGCATATCTGTCGCATGAATTATTGAAAGGTCAGACTGGTCTTTTTGAGAGCGGCTGGTCTCTTGTATGGTAAGACTGGTCTTTTTGAGAGAGGCTGGTGTCTATTGTCTGTTATGTGAGGCTAGTCTATTGTATGTTACGACTGATCTGTTGAGAAAGGCTGGTGTCTTGTATGGTAAGACTGGTGAGTTGAGAGAGGCGTGTCTATTGTAGGATAAGACTAATCTTTTGAGAGAGGCTGGTCTATTGTATGGTAAGAATGGTCTGTTGAGAGAGGCTGGTATCTTGGAGGGTAAGATTGGTCAGTTGAGAGAGACTGATATGTTGAGAGGCTGATCTGTTGAGAGAAGCTGGTATGTTGAGAGAGTCTGGTCTGTTGAGAGAGGCTGGTCTGTTGAGAGAGGCTGATCTGTTAAGAGAGGCTGGTCTGTTGAGAGAAGGTGGTATGTTGAGAGAGGCTGGTCTGTCGAGTGAGGCTGGTATGTTGAGAGAGGCTGGTCTGTCGAGAGAGGCTGATCTGTTGACAGAGGCTGGTATGTTGAGAGAGGCTGGTATGTCGAGTGAGGCTGGTATGTTGAGAGAGGCTGGTCTGTCGAGAGAGGCTGATCTGTCGAGAGAGGCTGGTCTTTTGAGAGAGGCTGGTCTGTTGAGAGAGGCTGGTCTGTTGAGAGAGACTGATATGTTGAGAGAGGCTAGTCTTTTGAGAGAGGCTAATCTATTGAAAGAGGCTGGTATGTCGAGAGGCTGGTCTGTTGAGAGAGGCTGATCTGTTAAGAGAGGCTGGTCTGTTGAGAGAAGGTGGTATGTTGAGAGAGGCTGGTCTGTCGAGTGAGGCTGGTATGTTGAGAGAGGCTGGTATGTTGAGAGAGGCTGGTCTGTTGAGTGAGGCTGGTATGTTGAGAGAGGCTGGTCTGTTGAGTGAGGCTGGTATGTTGAGAGAGGCTGGTCTGTTGAGAGAGGCTGGTCTGTTATGTGGTAATACTGGTATGTTAAGAGAGGCTGGTATGTTGAGAGAGGCTGGTCTGTCGAGTGAGGCTGGTATGTTGAGAGAGGCTGGTCTGTCGAGAGAGGCTGATCTGTCGAGAGAGGCTGGTCTGTTGAGTGAGGCTGGTATGTTGAGAGAGGCTGGTATGTTGAGAGAGGCTGGTCTGTTGAGTGAGGCTGGTATGTTGAGAGAGGCTGGTCTGTTGAGAGAGGCTGGTCTGTTATGTGGTAATACTGGTATGTTAAGAGAGGCTGGTATGTTGAGAGAGGCTGGTCTGTCGAGTGAGGCTGGTATGTTGAGAGAGGCTGGTCTGTCGAGAGAGGCTGATCTGTCGAGAGAGGCTGGTCTGTTGAGAGAGGCTGGTCTGTTGAGAGAGGCTGGTCTGTTAAGAGAGGCTGGTCTGTTGAGAGAGGCTGGTCTGTTATGTGGTAATACTGGTATGTTAAGAGAGGCTGGTCTGTTAAGAGAGGCTGGTCTGTTGAGAGAGGCTGGTCTGTCGAGAGAGGCTGATCTGTTAAGAGAGGCTGGTCTGTTGAGAGAGGCTGGTCTGTCGAGAGAGGCTGATCTGTTGAGAGAGGCTGGTATGTTGAGAGAGGCTGGTATGTCGAGAGAGACTGGTGTGTTGAGATAGGCTTGTCTGTTGAAAAATTAATCATAAAAGCATTTACTAAAGACAACTAACCATGTCGTTGAACGCCAAACATTTTGTAACCTACCATATAAACATTTCTTAACACGTATCTAAACCCTCAATCTAAAGCTAGTAGTGAATTAACAATTATTAAATTTATTGCACATTGTTGTGGAAATATAATTCGAATTATATTGTTTTGATTGATAATTAGATTCTAGAATGAAGATCTAGTTTCAAAGCATTGTGTTAGCCTAAAAAATTGTAAACAAATCAGTTTGGTTATTGACGATCTGGAAATAGGCTACATTAAACAAATACTATTTGTTTATTATTCTTTAAAATGATAAAATGTAATAGAATAGTTGAACATAATATTAATCAAATATCCTTACCTATAAGTACTGTGACTGCTGTGATGTAAATTTTGTGTGATTACGGCGTGCGACTGCGTTCCCGATCAAAAGTGTACTGACAAATATAGCGATATTCGTTTTGCGCCGAGATTTTTAGCGCTAGAAATAATAGGCGGTTTGTTCAAATGATTATATCTCAATAATCATTCTACAGATTTCTCTAATATTTTCAGGCATTATGGGGAATCATATTGGCTTTTGATTTATGTAAAAAAAAGAAAATCGAATTTTTTTGAGTTAGACGGTTTGCGACCGAGACCATCGATTTGCATTTGCATTTGCATTTGCATTTGCATTTGCATGTGCATGTGCATGTGCATGTGCATTTGCTTTTGCATTTGCATTTGCATTTGCATTTGCATTTGCATTTGCATTTGTATTTGTATTTGCATTTGTATTTGTATTTGTATTTGTATTTGTATTTGTATTTGTATTTGTATTTGTATTTGTATTTGTATTTGTATTTGTATTTGTATTTGTATTTGTATTTGTATTTGTATTTGTATTTGTATTTGTATTTGTATTTGTATTTGTATTTGTATTTGTATTTGTATTTGTATTTGTATTTGTATTTGTATTTGTATTTGTATTTGTATTTGTATTTGTATTTGTATTTGTATTTGTATTTGTATTTGTATTTGTATTTGCATTTGCATTTGCATTTGCATTTGCATTTGCATTTGCATTTGCATTTTTATTTTTATTTTTATTTTTATTTTTATTTTTATTTTTATTTTTATTTTTATTTTTATTTTTATTTGTATTTGTATTTGTATTTGTATTTGTATTTGTATTTGTATTTGTATTTGTATTTGTATTTGTATTTGTATTTGTATTTGTATTTGTATTTGTATCTGTATCTGTATTTGTATTTGTATTTGTATTTGTATTTGTATTTGTATTTGTATTTGTATTTGTATTTGTATTTGTATTTGTATTTGTATTTGTATTTGTATTTGTATTTGTATTTGTATTTGTATTTGTATTTGTATTTGTATTTGTATTTGTATTTGTATTTGTATTTGTATTTGTATTTGTATTTGTATTTGTATTTGTATTTGTATTTGTATTTGTATTTGTATTTGTATTTGTATTTGTATTTGTATTTCGTGTTCGTGTTTGTATTCGTATTAGTATTCGCATTTGCATTAGTTTTTGTATGCAAATTAACAAGCATCAAGCATGTATAAGTTCACATTGAAAATTCCCATTCAAATCATATATCTGTTCACGTAAGCCTTTGCATCCGCATGTTTACTGTTTTTTGTCTATATTTTTTTGTCTAACTATTTGAAATGAAAAGTTTTATTTTTATATATTTAGAATGGAATCGCTTGTGCGTTTTCATATAAATTCCAATTCCACTACCACTAAGAAAAAGGCTACTGCAGATATCATTCGACCACCCACGTAAATATTTAATGCTTTTAATGATATTAATTTATATGCTTGTAGTCCGTTTACACATATGTAATTAAATATTCTTTATTTATGAAAAGATTAAGTAGAACTTGATATTGCCTTCCCTTAGTTTCCAATCATTTAAAACTGAATTATCTGACCCTAATAGTCGTCACTACTCCTACCCGGCTCTACGACTGTAAACATTTGGCTTGAACCACGGCTCACCAGCCTGGTGGGGGTTGGGGTGATAGCTAAATGTCTAGAGAGCTGGGAGTAACGGCGTGCGTTTACGGGGTGTCTCGCATAGTCCCCATGAAAAGAATTATATATATATAGATATATATGAAATTTTCGGGTGGGGGGACAGTGTCAAAAGTATATATTTTCTATATAAATTTCATTTCGTTCGGGTGGGGGGGGGGAGGTAGACTTTCTTCGGGGGGACGATGCCCCCCCCCCCCCCGAAGAGATGCCTCTGCTAGTAACGCATGTGCATTCCTGCTAAATTAACAATGATAGTTCCTTTTTAGGAACTGTATCACCATGCATCAGCCGTGCACAATTCATGAATCTCAGATGTGGAAATACAACAACTTGAAATGTTGTAGATATTTAAGATGCAGGTACGACACAATTTATGCACGTATATATATATATATATATATATATATATATATATATATATATATATATATATATATATATATATATATATATATATATATTTGTATACACAATATTTGTACAGACACATACACTTACACATTTACTTACGCTTCGAATGCGTATGCATATTTCCTTTCGACTTTTGAAAATATCCTAATATTTTTTCATTTTCAGAGCATATACTTACAAACATGGAGACTACAGATGCGAGGACGATGTAAGTGATCAAGTTGTGCAATCGTGGGAGACGTTTCGGTGTTTTATTGCCAAAAGATTGTTTCAAAATTATGAAAATTTAGATTTTTGCTCACTAAACTAAATGCATGGGTCAGCGATGTTAAAATAGGACAATTAAACTGTCAATTGAAGAAAAAATATGCATTTTGTGTGTATCTGTAAGATATGTATATGTAAGACTTTACTGTAGAGTTGTTGTTTTTTTCTGTCACTTTATGATGAGTGTAAATGTATTTAATGAAAAGTTATGTCAGGTATTCTTTTTATTATATACTTAAAAAACAGTTTTGTCTCTATAAATAAATACGGTATGAGTTGCTACGGAATATATTTAGCAGCGCCGTCTAACATGGCCTTTATTGACAATAACTTAGTAGAAATGGCGTTTATTAACAACGAGATAATGGCCCTTTGAGGAAGTATACAACAAGCGCTAGGTTGATAGTGCTGTCTATTTTCTCTGAACTAAAACCAATACCAAAATCACCAACTTAATTCAATTTTACCGGAATCGAAAAATGACATTGAAAACGCATTTTTATCCAAAATCGGTACTTTAATAGCATTTAGAGGCATTAATCTTCTGTCAGTACCAGGAAAAGTCTTCTGCAGAGTCCTATTACAAAGAATGAGGAAAGGAATTGATGGGATCCTTCGTGAAGAACAAGCTGGCTTCAGGGCCAACAGGTCATGTAACGACCAAATATTTGTCTTGCGCACTATAGTGGAACAGTCCCTGGAGTGGAATTCGTCTCTCTACATCAACTACATAGATTTCGAGAAAGCATTTGATAGCATCCACCATCCATCATTATGGAAGATACTAGAGCTATAGGGCTTTCCAGGAATAGTCATAAACATACTTAAGGACATGTACTATGATAACCAATGCTGTGTGCGACACGAAAACCAGCAAAGTGAATGGTTCAAGGTAAAAACAGGAGTCAGACAGGGCTGTGTCATCTCACCTGTCATCTTTTTGGTGGTAATAGACTGGATTATGAGAAGAGCCACTGAGGATAAGCCAAGAGGAATTGTTTGGGAACTTACCAACCACCTAGAGGACTGTGACTTTGCTGATGACTTGGCCTTACTTTCACATGCCCAAAAAGACATCCAAGCGAAAACCACAAGAATAGAGCAAATTGCCAAAAGCGTTGGGCTAAAGATAAACTCCGGAAAAACCAAGCTAATGAAAATAAAAACCAAAAGTGCTCTCAAGACCTTTGCGAATGGAGCAGAGCTAGAAGAGGTCGAAGACTTTAAATACCTCGGCACCTATATATCAGCAAATGGCAGCATGGAGAAAGAAATTGCCACCAGAATAGCAATGGCAGCACAAGCTTTCAACAGACTCGCTAAGATCTGGAAATCATCCTCACTGCAGCAGAGAACTAAAATAAGGATCTATAAGTCTAATGTACGTTCTGTACTCCACTATGCTGCAGAGTCATGGAAACTAAACAAGAAAGTAGACAGCCGACTCAGAGGCTTTGAAAGAAGATCCCTCCAACGCATCCTCAGGATAAAGTGGGACGACAAAGTCCCGAACAAGGAAATATGGCGAAGGACAGGATTAAACGACATTGTCTCAGAAGTTAGAACGAGGAGATGGAGATGGCTGGGCCATGTCCTACGCATGAGCAAAACAAGACTCCCCAACATGGCGCTGAAGTGGAACCCACCCGGAAAGAGAAGTAGAGGAAGACCACTGGGAACATGGATGAGGGAGATGGAAGAAGAAGTACAGGCTACTGGCAAAACCTGGCATGAACTAAAGTGGCTCGCCCAGGACAGGGTGGAATGGCGGAGATTTGTTGTTGCCCTATACTCCACAGGGAGTGATGAGGATTAAGTAAGTAATAGCATTTAAGCTTGATCTCTACGTAGTTACTGCACATTGACACTAAATACAGTGTCAGCGATACCCCTAAACCTTGCAGCGAATCGCAATCATGACAAAAGTTGCATTTAGAGTTTCTTTTTGGCGACTCTACTTGCCCCCCCCCCCCCCCACCACACACAGCTCAAAGCACATCTACCGTCCCATTCAACGAAAGAGAATTTATATAGAAAATATACTTCACTAGTGTACGCCCCCCTGCCAGAAAATGTAGCCCACACTCATCCCCCGAAAATTTCAAGTACCCCCCCCCTAAGGGGAGGAAAAAGTCTAAAAGAAACGCTGATCGTATGTGTTAATCATAAAGACTAAAGGTAGAGCCTACTTCTATAATTTAGACCTAGTTTCCTACTTTTGGTCGATAAACCTCACTCTCGAAGATAGTGTTTTTCAGATATTTTTCTTGGGGTAGGGCATTTGAATTTTTGCAGAGGCGAATAAAATTATCCGGGGCTGGGGAGCCCGACACTGGTAGAAGTATAATATATTTCCTACATAAATTATATTTCGTTTTTTTTTTAGGGGGAGGGATTAGACGTTCTACCGGGGGTGGGTTAAATGGGCTTAGCATGAAAGAAACTCTGCAAGGAAACCACTTTTTAGATTAGACACATTAATTAGGCGCTAATTTTATTATATAGTATCGATGACGACATTTTTTTTAGTTGGGGGGGGGGGGGCGGCTTAGACGTTCTTACTCGAGGATGGAGCTTCGCCCCTACCCGAAGAATTGTATGAAAGAAACTCTTCACGCAAACCACTTAGATTAGACAATTTTTTTTTATTCAATGTTACTCGAAAATCAATGACGTCATATTACTGTGTGCACTCTCCGGCTGTAGACTATTTCCTACTACGAGCCGACCCGCTATTTAGTTGTTTTATTTTCTACTTTTCAGGAATTCGTAATTTGTGAATTCGACAGTACCACTGCTGTCACTTAAAAAATTTGCTTTATAACACTATCAGTAAGTCGTTAAGGACGATAACCCCCCCCCCCTCCCCCCCCTCCCCCCCCCCCCCCCCGTGAAAGCAGTCTCCTCTTAGCTACCTCCCCTAAGTTTAAAATCGTTTCAAACTACATTATCTGCCCCTAATAGCCGTCACTAAACCTGGCTCTACGAATGTAAACATTTAGCGTGAACCACAGCTCACCAGACTTCCTAGAGAGGAAGAGAGGGGACTGCAAGGCGAGCTTACAGCTTGTTTTTTAACGTCTCCTAGAAGAGAATTATATATATATATATATATATATATATATATATATATATATATATATATATATATATATATATATATAGATAGATAGATAGATAGATAGATATGCTCCATGTGACGTCATGCTTCGTTTTTGTTTTACTATGAAATTTTTAATTCTACTTTTGTTTTCACTATAGCCGGCTTTCGACTCTTTCCTACTACATGCTCCATGTGACGTCACGTTTCGTTTTCGTTTTACTGTGAAAGTTTTTACTCTGCTTGTGTTTTCTCTATAGAGCTTGTAAGTTCTCGTTCTCTCTTACTCAAATTCAAGTCTCGTTAGCCAGAGAGAGATAAAAGTTTTCTAACTAAATCAATTGTTGTGAACGGGATTCCTATTGTTAATAAAAAAAATATTCACATTTGTTTTTAATGCTAGCTGGCAAGTATGAAAACGAGAACTTTGTGACCAACTTACAAGCCCAATAGCGTTCTTGTCAGATAGATAGACACACAGATACATACACAGACAGCGAAGCTATTATTATAGTAAAATGGCCTTTATTGACAATAAATTGGTAGAAATGGCCTTAATTGACAATAAATTAGCATAAATGGCATATATTGACAATAAATAAGCATACATGGGAAACAAAAACAAAATGAAAATACAAAGATTAACTATGTAAATATCGTACCGTCATAGGAATGAACACAACTACAACTGAATGAATGGGCCAAGACCAAACTGAAATCAAAACTCGTGCGGCAAGGTAAGTTACCCCAGTAACCCAGGGCATAAGGCAGAAGAAGTAGAGTTCATCAGCTGTTTGTGTTAGTGTCCATCTGAACTTGTATGATGCCCGACAGACCGGAACCCTGCAATTCGAACTCGGAACTTTACAGATAACAACGGTGACGTATCGGAAATTGTGAGGCTTTACGGCGGGACAAGCAAGAAAAGATCAAAAGAAGTTGACCAAGAAACACTTGGAGAGGAGACCTTGAAGCTCAAATTAAAAGGGTTTAAACTAAAATAAAGCTGAGAAAATGGCAGAGGACAATAGTCTTTAGGCCTTTAGTTGGCGGCCCATATCATAGCATAATAGAAGTCGAGATATTTGGTTGGCGGCGCCCATCCTAGCATGATAGAAGACGAGATATTTGGTTGGCGGCCCATATCATAGCATAATAGAAGTCGAGATATTTGGTTGGCGGCCCATATCCTAGCATGATAGAAGACGAGATATTTGGTTGGCGGCCCATATCCTAGCATGATAGAAGACGAGATATTTGGTTGGCGGCCCATATCCTAGCATTACAGAAGACGAGATATTTGGTTGGCGGTCCATATCCTAGCATGATAGAAGACGAGATATTTGGTTGGCGGAGCCCATCCTAGCATGATAGAAGACGAGATATTTGGTTGGCGGCGCCCATCCTAGCATGATAGAAGACGAGATATTTGGTTGGCGGCCCATATCCTAGCATGATAGAAGATGAGATATTTGGTTGCCGGCCCATATCCTAGCATGATAGAAGACGAGATATTTGGTTGGCGGAGCCCATCCTAGCATGATAGAAGACGAGATATTTGGTTGGCGGCCCATATCCTAGCATGATAGAAGATGAGATATTTGGTTGCCGGCCCATATCCTAGCATGATAGAAGACGAGATATTTGGTTGGCGGCCCATATCCTAGCATGATAGAAGATGAGATATTTGGTTGGCGGTCCATATCCTAGTATTATTAGAGACGAGATATTTGGTTGGCGGTCCATATCCTAGCATGATAGAAGACGAGATATTTGGTTAGGGAACCATTCTCCAACATGTGAGGTGTGACGGGCAAAGATGTGATGATGAAACTTTCAACAGTTGGTTTTTTTGTAAGCTTATTGAGTGAGAGAAACAAATCTGCATTTTAATTTATCTTAGTTTTTTACATAGATCCAGTATGAAATATGTTGCCAAATCATATATATATATATATATATATATATATATATATATATATATATATATATATATATATATATATATATATATATAAACACACGCACAAATTGTTATGTACACATATATTAATTTAAAATTTGAATACAGTTCAATAGCGCATTGTGTCTTAAAGAATTAAGATGTGTTTTCAGCTGTCAGTTTAATTACAATTTTTTTTTAAAGAACCCATCGTGTCGTTTTTTACATAGTGGTAGTTGTTTTCCGCCTCTGGTTTCATTAGAAACAAGTGTTAAAGCTACGTGTCATTACCCTCATGCGCTTGATGCATTACTTACCTTCATCACTTTTTTCATCAGTAACTCAGCACGCAAGCATGTTTTGTGAGTCCAACATGATCACAGTTTTTCTGAAAGTCGTAGTAGTTTTTTGTTTGACAGGTTAGTGACAATTTACCTAATGACAGGTTAGTGACAATTTACCTAATGACAAGTTAGTGATACTTTACCTAATGACAGTGATAGTTTACCATATGGCAGGTTAGTGATATTTTACGATATGTCAGGTTAGTGATAGTTTACCATATGACATGTTAGTTATAGTTTACGATATCTCAGGTTAGTGATACTCTTATAGCAGGTATGTGATACTTTACTTTATGACAGGTTTGTGATGCTTTATTTTATTATGGCCAGTAGTTTTAGATTATGGCAGGTTAATGGTCTATTTCTTTTAAGCTTCTTGCAATTGTATTAAAAATGATAGATGTGAATAGTGTTTATTTTTTTATTTTTAGTGCCAGAAAGTCAAGGTGCGTCAAACGATGATTGTAAAAAGGCACAAAGATGCCTCGTACAGAATTACAAGACATTTTTCCCCTACACAGAGGAACTCGATAACCTAAAACTTAAGCCCACCTGCAAGTAAGTTTTTGTTTCATTTATTCTATTTGAATTTTTTTTTATTAAACTACGTTGGCTTACGGTGTTTTTATAAGACTAAATTCAGTGAGTTTATGTAACAAAACTGTTTTAATGGACGACAGGCAAAAACGAAAACCTCTACGTGAGAAAATGTCATGGAAAAATGAGACTGACAAAAAAAACTAAATTTGTTCAAATTCAGCAACCTTGATTCTAGGGGAGGCCCTGCCAATGAAGGACCCTATATCATTAGCATTAATTGTATTAGCTGTACTATGCAACAAAAAAGCACTATATGTACTGGGATGTAATGTTTTACATATATATATATATATATATATATATATATATATATATATATATATATATATATATATATATATATACTAGGCATACTGCTTAGCTTCGCTTAGGCTTTCAAAAAGTTGAGAAATTGAATGATTAATTAATAGGTGATTGGCTGTTATGTTAAATGCTTAGGGCCTAAATTTATACAGTGGGGTACTTTTATTGTACCCATAAATTGATGAAATATTCGCAAACTTATTACTCGCAAGGTTATTAGAACTGAAAGGGCTTTCATAATAATTATCAATCAAATATTATATTAAATTACTTTTGCAATTAATTTTACAATTTCAATACAATACAAAACTTAATTTATAACAAAATATCCATTTAAAACAACGCTATACTTTATGATTTTTGTTTTTTCCTAAAAAGAGTATACAAAATATTAAAATATTGTTACATTAAAAAGTTACCTCCCCTGTCCATAGACCAAAGACCAAATCTCGTATAATAAGAATTTCACTCGCAGTCATTTTTAGCCCTCTTCGAGGGCTTTGATGCTGACCAACAGTTTTTCCATACGGCCCAGTCACCTATAGAGGTGTATGCAAAAAAATTAGCCAGTTATACAAAGAGTAAGTACCATAAAATTTGTGTAGAAATTACCCTGTTTTCCCCATAAAATACAAAGTTTATACGACTGGTCAGTTTTGACCCATTTCCCGATTTTTCCCTGACATGGCGAGTTTTTTGTGACACCCCAAGGCGTTCTCCTACCATCTCACAAAATTTCAAGGGGGGTCGACGGAGGAAAACAAATTTCGAAATAGAGCTCATATAAAAAGAATTTCACTCGCGGTCACTTTTTAGCCCTCGTCGAGGGCTTTGAGTCGAACCGACAGTTTTCCCTAAACGTCAAGCCATTTACCTAAGAGTATGCAAAAACTTAGCCAGATATACTGAGTTTAAGTACTCTAAAATCCGCGTTGAAATGACCCTCTGTTTTCCACATAAAATACAAAGATTATATAGGGAAATACAACTGGTCAGTTTTGACCCCTTTACGAAGTTTTTCCAGATATGCCGAGTTTTTTGTGACACCCCAAGGCGTTCTCCTACCACCTCACAAAATTTCAAGGGAAGTCGTCGGAGGAAATTTTTTTTCGTAATATAGCCCATATAAGGCGCCGGTCAGTCGAGGACAGTTTTGATCTTCTTTCCGTCGAATTTTCGGCCAACCGTCACCGACCCTCGTGTTCTATCGCCCCAAGGCACCATCGTGCCAAATTTGACGCGCCTGCGGCGCCGGGAAGTGCCCTATCGGGCACCTGACCACTTTGCTTTATATATATATATATATATATATATATATATATATATATATATATATATATATATATATATATATATATATATATATATATATATAGATATATATATATATATATATATATATATATATATATATATATATATATATATATATATATATATATATATATATGTATATATATATATATATATATATATATATATATATATATATATATATATATATATATATATATATATATATATATATATATATATATAAATGTATATATATAAATATATATATATATATATATATATATATATATATACGTGCGGCGTCAATTCGGCCAATGACGAAACGGCCCCGTCAAAACGACCCCGACAAAACGACCCCGTCAAAACGACCCCGTCAAATCGGCCCCGTCAAAAGGGCCAGCGACATATGGACCCCGTCATATAGGCTCCCGACAAATAGGCTCCCGTCATTTAGGCTACCGACAAATAGGCTCCCGTTATATAGGCTCCCGACAAAAGGGCTCCAGTCAATAAGGCTCCTGACAAATAGGCTCCCGTCATTTTGGCTCCCGACATATAGTCTCCCGTCATTTAGTTTTTTCCACAAAACGGCCCCCGTCATTACGACTCCCGACAAATAGGCTCCCGCCATTTAGTTTCTCCACAAAACGGCCCCCGTCATTACGACTCCCGACAAATAGGCTAGCGTCATTTTGGCTCCCGACAAAAAGGCTCCTGTCAATTTGGCTCCAGACAAAAGGACCACTGACACAGTGGCGTAGCTACCGTAAAGCTAGCGTAAGCAAGGCATGGGGGCCCAAGGCACATAGGGGCCCTTTTCCCTCATAAAAAATTAAAACTTTTACAATGGAATTTTAATATTTGTTACATATAAATAATTTAAAAAAAAAGGTTAAAAGTTCCAAAAAGCCCCCCCCCCCCCACCGTTTCGGCAGTGGGATTCAGTGTTTGTGGGTCAAACAGAGCCCAATCGTTATAATAACACTACAGGCTATATCACTTTGTCGTGCAAGACATTGAGAGAATCTGCCTATAAATAAACTTTTTAGCAGTAGTAGGCAAGCATAATAATATAGTATAAATACAAAATCAGGAGTATATATATATATATATATATATATATATATATATATATATATATATATATATATATATATATATATATACTTTGTTTCCTGGGAGGGGGTGACAATACGAAGTGCCGTACCGGGTGAGACCCGACCTAGCGACGCCTCTGGCCTAACGGCTGACGAAGGGGCCCACTGATAATTTTTGCATAGGGGCCCAAAAATCCTAGCTACGCCACTGCACTGACAATACCGTTTTTGTAGAGACTAAGTCTCCCGGCAAAGCGGTCTCATTGAATATGACATCTGCCAGTGGGACCCCTTCATCAATATTCTTTAGAGTTAGCTTATCCAACACTCTTATGTAATACAACGTATGCATCTCTTGTTCGGCAGGCCTTATTTTTATATTAGTTTATCTATATAAAATATAGTATGTTTTAATTTAAGGGTCATCTATCTATGACATCCATAATTGAGTCGGTTATAGGCAGTTCCAACTCATTGTGTGGGGAGAAGGGTCCACGCTGTACCTTCCTAACTGCAATATGCTTGTACAGGGGCGTAGCGAGGGGGGGGGGGGGGGGGGCGGGGGGTGCGGACCGCACCGGGTGACACCATTTAGGGGGGTGACACCAAGGCAAAAAATAGCAAAATATATAGAGAAAAAGTTGAGGGGTTGGGGGTGCAAATCGAAAGTTTGGGGGGGGGGGTGCAAATCGAAAACTTGAAAGCTTGTCCCCGGGAAGGGTCGCAACGCCTCTGGAGGGGGGTGACACCATTAAGTGCCGCACCGGGTGACACCCAACCTCGCTACGCCACTGTGCTTGTAGGTTATCAAAACAAAATGCTGTTATCATGTTAACATCATGTATATCATACATTTACACTTCTGTGCTCGCTTTTAAGCAACAGATCTTTTCTGTTGTAAATTAAACATTATCAAAACTTTAGAATTGGTGGAATTTAGCTGTTAAGGGCTCGATTTGTTTGTGAATTAATGTTGGTTAATGAAAAAATAATTTCATTCGGGCATTAAAAAGAGGTTATGGTGGTATTGGAGGTAGGAGACACAATGGTTACTTTTAAACCAACAGTGGTCATATCATTCATTTTTCTGGAGCCAATATGTCGGGAGTCATTTTGTCAAAAGCCAATATGTCGGGAGCCCAATTGCCGGGAGCCAATATGTCGGGAGCCCATTTGTCGGTAGCCAAAATGTCGTGAGCCCATTTGCCGGGAGCCCATTTGTCTTGAGCCCTTATGTCGGGAGCCAATATGTCGGGAGCCGCTTTGTCGGGAGCCAATATGTCCTGAGCCTATTTGTCAGGGGTTAATATGTCGGTAGTCCATTTGTCGGGAGCCTAAATATCGG